TTCAGGTCTTAAGTCCTAAGATCCCAAACCCTAAACTAAACCCTAAACCCTAAGATCCCAAACCCCGCCATGACCTCCATAAGAACCTTAGAGACCCCCCCAAAACCCTAAATTCTAAGCTCCCAGACCCTCTGTTGAGACCGAAGGAGAACCGAGCCTTCAAGAGCCCAGCCGCAAAAGGCTAAAAACGATTTCAGGCTCTAAAGACCCGACTCGACGATCCGAATCCCAATAAGTTAGTGGCCGCGACAACTAGAATAGATTTGAGACGGTTTAGGGTTTAGGGTTAGGATTTGAGGGCGTATCTTCTACTATAGCTCTGATCAAGAACCCCAAGGACACACAGCTGTAACTTTTCCGACCCATATGAACCCCACCATGTATAGAACCCTGCAGCGAATCCTCGTAGAACCCTCATAGACTCCTAGAGCGCTTATACTACCAGTTTTGGTGCCCAAAAGGCCACTTATACACAGCACCCTTATAAGTACCCTTATGGAATGAATCCTCCTGGAACCCTCATTACACCTCATTATATATATATAATATATATATATATATATATATATAGTGGCTCCCTTTGTAGTATAGAGAGACCTAGTGGCTCCCTTTGTAGTATAGAGAGACCCTTCACGGAACCGTTGCTCTAAAGGCGCTGAAGCCCAGAAGGACTCACAGTTGCTGCCGCGACACCGAAGCGTCGGCGCCGGGATGCCTTCGATCACCGTGCCTGCCTGCACCTGCGTAGACCTATTTGTTTTTTTTTCTAGGGCTTTCAGGGATTTACTTTAGGGCTTTGAGGGCTTAAAGGGTTCAGGATTACTGTAAGTCTTCTGGGTTGCGAGTTTGGGGTTTTAGGGATATATGTAATGTATTTGTGGGTATATTCTGCTACAATTACATTAAGGAACCCCCAAATAGTATAGGTAATTCTTGAGGCCCCTACCTAGACCCGCCAACTACCTTCTATTATACCCGAAATACCCACTATTAGGGACCATAAGGGCTCCATTAAAGGGCCATTGGGGGGTCCTGGTACATTATGGTGCCCTAAACCCTAAACCCTAAACCCTATGTAGAGGGCTCATGTTTACTTTAGAATGGAGATTTTGTGGCTCAGGGTCTTTACGGTTGGGGTTGGGGAGGCTTGTGGGTTTGATGAGTATTCTAAGTTTTTGTTGTACTGTGGGGTTTAGGGTTTAGGGTTGATGAGTATTCTATTTTTTTGTAGTTTGGGATTTAGGGTTTAGGGTTTGGGCTGTAAGTAAGATTTTGGCCTCGGAAGTTTGCGGGGTTTCGGGTCCGGGCTATGGCTAGGGAGACTGGATCTTGAGTGTTGGGTTGGCAGTTTGGTTTCAATATTTTGGGGGGTGTCTGGAAGCTTCGGGCGCACGGAAGTCTCACAGTCGCGCTATAAAGCTTTCTTGTTCGTTAAGAGTTGAGGTTTAGGGTTTAGGGCAGCCTTGAAGAGGGACTACGAAAATATGCATACAAACAGCCAACAAAAACACACACACACACACACACGCGCGCACGCACACATCCAAAAAGACATCCTCATCAATGACGAGGAAGCACCTCACGCAGGCAACGGCCAGTAACGAAAGTTGCGTCTGACTACTGGCCTTGCTTCTTGGCAAGATTTAGTAGGTCATGCTGAAGCCTTTCCATGTTCCTGGGCCTCCGGCCAGGCAAACAACCCAAAGCAATAAACACCAAACTAAACCGCACACCCCTAAACCCTAAACGAATACCCTAAAACCTAAGCCGTCTTAGTGAAAGCGGAAAGCCATAGACCTAACGCCTGATCAGTCGAACCTTCAACCTACCCTTTTGCCCCGAACCTGAAACTCCAACACCTGAATGACCCCTGAAACCCTACACCTTAGTACGAGGCTGTGGGCTGATATGGTATGTTAGACTATAAAGTATGTTATACTTTATGACTCTACTTCTGACATCTTATGTTATGCTCTCGCAAAATAAGTCTTACATCTAGTGTTCTACCTGTAACAGTCTTACATCTAGTGTTCTACCTGTAGCGAACTGAAACATATGAGGTTACCAACCCAACAGTCTCTTAAGCGCAACCCTGAAACCCGACCTGGTTCTTCAACGTCTCCAAGGGCCAAATCGCCCAAAAGCTCAACATCGACTAGGTATGCCGGAATGAATGGCGACAAGGGTCGTTTAGGGTTTAGGGTTTAGGGTTTGAGGGTATAGTGGTTGGGGTCTGGGATGTGAGTTTCGTCTTCGGGGATTGTCAAACTGGGAAGATTTAAATCGTGTGGAACTGTAGCTCAAGATTGGTGGCCGGGTGGTCCATGATACGTGTTTTTTCGTCTCGTGGTCTCATGAAGTATCTCTTGTAGTGCTGATTTCGCAGGTAGCAGTACTGTTGGTGCTGTCGTTCTTGTTGTAATTGCTACAGGTTTGTGTTGATGAAAGGGATGGTTGCCTCCACGTAATGTTGAGTTTGCAGGCCCACAAATCCGAATCACAAAGTGCGTCCCCCCCAAACCTCTTCTGCTGGAATCCGGAAAGGCCGTGAATCCGAAACTCCTGATTCCAGAACCGACAAAGAAAGGTCCCGGAAAGTGAACACGCCAAGTGCAGGACGACGCTACCCCAGGACAGGAATTGCCAGTGAGGGCGTTTCAAAGCTTCGCCTGGCTCGCACAATTTTTTTGGGCAGTGGTCTGGCTGAACCCTAAAGCCCTAAACCCCCAAACCCTAAACCCTACACCCTAAACCCTAAAACATAGGGGGTTAGGGTTGATGACTGGCAGGATGCAACAACTCTAAACTGACCAGAACAAGACGACTAGAAGCACACTGTGCCTTCCTTTCGGCAGACCGAGCCTGATCTGCGGAGCCCTAAACCCTAAACCCCAAATCCCAAACCCCAAACCCTAAACCTTAAACCCTAAGCCTAAACCCTAAACCTAAACCCTAAACCCTACGGATTGCAACAGTTCAGGGTTCAGAGCTCATATGGTTCGTTCTCTAAGGTAGGGTCCCTTTTCAAAGGGTCCCTTTTCTAAGGGTGCCGTAATATTTTGGGGACCTAAAAGGGCACCCTAATTTGGAGAATTACACATATAGGACCCTTATAGTACCCCGATAGGAACCCTTATAGATCCGTTTACTCCATGATAGGGCTGCTCTGAATCCAAGTATGAAGTATACTGCCAACACTGATAGTTTGAGGGAGAAATGCAACATAACATCGCATACATGCAACTCCTACCGCCCACAGTTTCCGCGCCATGATTACGGTTGCTGCTCGAATATTTCTACGTTGCTGTTTCCATTGACAAGCTACATGGTACCATACGCTGGAATACATTCAGATAGCACTCATCACATTTCATGGCGCTTGTAGCCTCGGCATGTGCCAGTGCGCAAGACGTTCAAAAACCTTGAGACGATCGATGCAGACAAACATGGATGAACCGCTCGTGTCTACAGTGTCTTCCTGCAGAAGGATGCATCCGCTCAGAAACCCTAAACCGCTAAACCGTAAACCAGCAAAACTGTGCAGCTTTCGTCAGCAAAGCGGGCCGGCAGCAAACGACAAACCGATGCCAGCGCAGCCGTCACTCCAGCGCCGAACGCTGTCCACCCCACAGAATATGAGGGTCATCATTCCGACCTCAGACGAAGAGCACACAGTGTTTGGGGGGCTCGAAGTTGTCAGTTTCATCTTACGCTGCCTTGCACTCTGAACTAAGCCAACCAAGCAACAGCCACAACAGCAACGGTAACAGAAACAGCAACAACAACAACAACAACAACAACAACAACAACAAAAACGCCGACACCAACACCCCCAAGCAGCAGCAGCAGCAGCAGCAGCAGCAGCAGCAGTAGAAGCACAGCAATGCAACGGCAAGACCAACAGTGGTAGTAGAAGCACAGCAAGAGTAGCAGCAATGTCAGCGTCGTCAGCTGAAACAGCAACAACAGCAGCAGCTTCAACAGCAAGACCACCAGCAACAGCAACATCACCAGCAGCAGCGGCAGAACAGCAACAATAATAGCGAAAGCAGTAGAAGCACCATACAAAACTGCAACAACGTCCCCGAAGCGTAGAGCTGAGGCACCGAACCCAGAGCATAAACAAGGGCTTGGGCCTCATCGTTATCACCACCGTCAACAAATCATCACCATCGTCATCGTCATCATCGCCATCACCATCACCATCACTATCATCAACATCAACATCACCATCATCACCATCACCATCATCATCATACACTGCATCACCATCATCATCCTTAGCAGCACGTCCTTCATCGTCAACAACATCATCGTCATCGTCATCATCATTATCATGGTCACGGCCAGGATGCCATCATCATTAGCAGCACCATCATTATCAAGATAATGGCCTGCATTTTTATCAACATCACCATCATCATCCTTAGCAGCATGCCCAGCATCATCATCGTCATCGTCATCGGTCATCATCATCATCAGCATCACGATCATCATCATCATCATCATCAGCATCATCACCAGCAGCAGCACCACCACTATTATCATCATCACCGTCGTCACCACCATCATCAGCAGCGTCATTATCATCGTCATCCTCATCCCCATTATCGCCAGAACTGACATCACTGTCTTCACCATCAGAACAAACATCACCACAGTCATGCATCAACATCAACAACAACACCACGACCTCATCATCCTCGGATTGATGCATCTACTTTTTCTGATTTAGCATATTTGACCTTCACCTGAACCCTTTGCCATTGCCACCAGAACCAGCATTACTTGCATCATCGTACTGCCTTCTGCTCATCACCACTGGCCTCAGCTCGAGTGTCTTCATGCTCAGTCCTTGTGCTAGTGCCAGAAGCACTGGACCATCAACATCGTCATAATCGATGTAACTTTCACTATAGTCATCCTCAGCTTGAGGACCATCTTCAGCATGGTCATTATCCGCAATAGCTCAGCTCCGGAGGCAAGATAAAGTCCCAGGCAGTTCGGGGCAGCTGCATAAAGAAGCCCTGGTAGACCTGCACATGCTGCAACTGCTCTGATCGAAAAGGCTCAGAGCGAGAAGAATTTGTCAAGGGTCCTCTGCCAACAGCTCTTGCAACTTCTCCGATGCTACAGCTTCTTTCCAACAGACACCAAAGACGAATAGCAAGAACCTTGAAAATAACTCTTGCGCCGGCCTCGTTGAAATGCCAAGTCTGGCCAGTTTGCCGCTTGACCTGCAACATCGTCATACGCAAACCGCAACCCTAGCCCCTAAACCCAAAACCCTACATTCTTATAAACCCAAGGCTTCAGAAACCCTAAACCCTAAACCCCTAAACCCGCAATCCCAAATCCTAAATCCCTAAACCCTAAACCCTTATCCCTAAACCCTCAACCCTAAACCCTCAACCCAAACCCTAAACCCTAAACCCTAAACCCTCAACCCTAAACCCTCAACCCAAACCCTGAGCCCGAGTCCGAGCTCCGGGATGCCTTGGCATACTCGATGGGCGACTCGATCACTGCTCGCGCAGAGGAGCCGCAAAGGCCGGCGAAAACCTGTAGGGGTTTAGGGGTTTAGTAGGGGTTTAGTAGGGGTAATTATAGGGTTTAGGGGTTTAGGGTTTAGGGGTTTAGGGGTTTAGGGTTTAGGTTTGGATCGGATGAACAGCTCCGACAGGGCTATTGCGTGCCGAATCTGCTGCTGCTGACGATGAGGATGGCTGAAGAGGACGATGATGACAAGTGATTACAATGAACATGATGCTGAACGGGACAAAGATGCTGACTGTGAAGGGTGATGGTGATCATGATGTTGGGCGATAACGATTTAGGGGTCTGTTGGCGCTCAAGACGAAGAAGACGACGATGATGTGGAACATCCTCACCGGGACCATCGAAGTCAATTTTAACATCATCCTGCACAGAAGATCTACTATTCTAGCCGTGCTGGCATCCACCATTGTCACCACATTCATCATCATCGTCGCAATCAGCATTGTCAGCACATTGTCATCAGCATGACCAACAACTGCATCATCTTCTGATCATCTCCCATTTCAAGTCAACGCCGCCCTTATCACCTTATTAATGGAAGCATCTGGTCGAAACCCGAAAAGATGCACAAAGGTGCAGACATATGAGAACAGAGCCTTGGGGATCATCTGCTTGGATGTAGACTCTGGGGGGGGCTCTTGAAATGAATCCCTTCTAAAGTGTGGGGATTTGTCGCTGATTCATGCACAACTACACAACCTTCTATACATAAAAACAAATAACTATATACATGCATACTTGCATACTTGCATACGTGCATACATAGATACATACATGCATGCATACATACATACATTTGTTCTATACATTCTATAACGATATAGCCATCTGATGAATTGCAATACTTAGGTACCTACTCGGCACCAGACTCTCAACCCAAAATCCCTTCTGGGTGGACAAGGCCCCGGCTGTTGCAAGTGCGAGGCCACCAGTGCCAGGGATTCGAAACTGCCAGAGAAGCACGGCACAGGGTTTAGGGTTTAGGGTTTAGGGTTTAGGGTTTAGGGTTTAGGGTTTAGGGCACAGGGCCAAGCCAAGTCACACAGAAAACATCCCAACAGATGCATTCGCCTTTCTTCCTTGTTGCTTGTGTAACTATATAAACATATGCACAAGTGTGTGTGTGTGTGTGTGCAGGCAAGTTCTTGGGATCGAACCTATTGCCTACACTTAGATACATATACCTGCATCAATATATGCACATTTACATACATATATACATAACCATATATGCATATACAGATAGGGTGATGCATGTGAGTTTGTGTGTGAGCGGACATCACATCCTGAATCGGACTCCTTGCGGCAAACCATCTTGCGGCGATGAGAGGCTTTGCCAGTTTCACAAGGACCGAAAAGCACTTCGAACAGGTTTGCAAAGAAGCTTCTGGGATCGGATGGTGACCGGCTCCAGCCGTCTCCGTCATAACTCGATAATTGGCACTATCCCCATATCAATAGTATGCAGACGAAGACCATTGCAAGCCGCAGGTGGAGCACGACGACCTTGACCCCGCTCCCAAAAGGTTTAAAGCGGGAGACGATGGACTGCAATATCATCTCGAACCATCAGCCGGTTAGGTTTGGCTGTTGGTTCTTTTCAGCATTAGGGATTGACCCGGGCCATCGAATGATACTGTAGGGCCATTATACTATAATCATAATGAGGAACCCCTAAAATAATATAGGCAATTATTAAGGCGTCCAAAGTAAGCCTGAGGCAGCGATACAGGAGCACAGTTTGTTCTAGAGTTGCCAGGGGTCTCTTGAAGCACAGTACAACCTTGCTAGTGGATCCGTGATTTGTACCCTAAACCCTAAACCCTAAACCCTAAACCCTAAACCCTAAACCGCATGTGTTTGCTTCTGGCCAGAAGGCCTTGTTTCTCCTTGGGCCAGCAGACAGCAAAGGAGTCTTCCCAGCTGCAGGGCGTCAGCACAGAGCTGCAACACCGCTAGACACTGCAGCTACTGTATCCTGCCATGATAACTTGACATTAACGAGAAATCTTGCGGAACGAACCTGTGCACAAACAGCATGCAGGTCGTCTCTTCCAGTCTGACACCTGCAGTCTCCATTGTAGTTCCTTTTTGGGGTTACCTTCTAGGATCCCTATTATAAAATATGGCTAAACCAGAAAAAGGAACTACAATGGAGACTATACCAGGACCCCCCAATGGCCCTTTAATAGAGACCTTATGGCCGTGAATAGTGGGTATTTGGGGGATAATAGAGGGTAGTTGGGGGGTCTGGGTAGGCAGAGTCAGTGAAGCTTAACCATGGGTTGCTCCTCACCCCACAATAAGCACTCTCTCGCGAACTCGTTGCAGTTGGCTTTCTTGATGGGGTTGGCGCTGTAATCTTTTGAGGCCCACTCTTGGAATTTCATCTGCAGGCTGGAGTACGGTGCGCTGATCCTGCAACTCCTCTGCAAAATGCCTCTGGCACGCTGAACTGGATGCACGGTCAGATTGTGCCCGGTATTCTCCATGTCAGCCCCAAAAGCACACTCCAAACACCGAGTGCCTTTCATGAAAGGTCTGAGGAGCCACCTGAGGGTTTCGTAAAGTAGGGGGTGTCGCTTTTGGAGGTCCTGACGTAAAGGACCCAATCCCTTGCAAAGGGTGTCATTTTTGGATAGTACTGGCAGATTTTCACATATATGTATGAGTTAGGCTTCTGTACAAGGGGCTCTTCGTTCTTATGAAGCTCCCACCTGAAGATCCTTCTGCGAGGTGCCTTGATCCACCGATGCGCCGTCCATGGGAACAAGTGTCGGATCGCACTGCGGAAGAGCAGGAAGGCTTCGAAAGACAGGAGCACGTAGATGGTAGAGTGGTACATGTCGCGGGAGGCAGGAAGATCTTTTCTTCGGGCAAAGAGCTTCCGGGAGCTTAGTCCATGGCAAGCTTTGGCCAGCCAAGGAATCGGGATCTCATCTTCCAGGGGTTCAGTCCGCCATTCAAGGCCAACCACATCGGCACCGGGAAATCGACCGTACACTGGGCAGTCGGGCTTTGAGCTCACTCTTCGCATGGTTGCGGGGCTGCCTGTGGAGCCGCAGCCATAGGACAAGGGAGAAGCACACAGCTGGACCTCCTGTCGAGAATTCAGAAGCGGCGCAGCCGTGAATGCCAGCAGTGGAAGGGCGGCCGCAAATCTCGTGGTTGTCTGCAACTTTGTGTGGCAATGCCATGGCGGTGGATGCACCATCTGATCGGTTTAGGGCTTAGGGCTTTGGGTTTAGGGTTTAGGGTTAAACCATCTTCAGATACAGACGGAAACCACACATAGCTAATCATTGCGTTTCATGTACCTAAATCTCAGACCGTACTGTCCAGTTAACAGGGCGCACGGTGTACAGTCCAAGTAAAGTCTGAGGCTAGAGTTCTTCTGGATGAACACTGGGTTTGAGCTGAAGATGCCTCGTACACCGGCTCACCATGCAGTATACTTTAATGGCTTAGGGTTTAGGGTCCAGGGTTTAGGGTTTAGGGTTTAGGGTGTAGGGTTTATAGAGAATGGAATAAGACACTGCTCATGAATAGAGCCCCAGCGTCGCGAACCGAAGCCTCAAGCCGAAGTCAGTCCCTACAGCCGCCCATTGAGGTCAGAAAACCGGCCTGATACCGGTTACCGTGCTGCTGCTATGCTGCTGCTGCCGCTACTACTACTACTACTACTACTACTACTCCTCCAACAACAACAACAACTACTACTACTACTACTACTACTACTACTACTAGTGTTACTATTACTACTACTAGTGTTACTATTACTACTACTAGTGTTACTATTACTACTACTACTACTACTACTACTACTACTACTACTACTACGACTAGTAGCTACTATCACCACTATGCCGGAGTAGTTCATGAGTCGGCTCATCACTCGGATAAGCAGTTGGGCATCTCCCCCCAAACTACACTGGGTCTAGGGTTTGAGTTTAGGGGTTTCAACCCTGTACCTAGGGGCCCAGGATGCTCTCGCGGTCTGTTGCTCGTGTTTCTATCACAGTCATGCGAAGGGGTGCAGACATCCACTGGAGCAGACATTGATTGGAGTATGAAAGCAGCCACGATGATCAGAGTGAAAGCACCTTAGGGCTTGTAAGTTGGGGTCCTATTTAGGATCCTTGGTCCGAAAGTGCCCGGAACGGGACACGGATTCAGAAAAAGTACCCTGTCGATGTCCAGAAAGGAATGCTAGCCCAGGAATCCCAGCGAATTCTGTTCTGCAGCATCAGTGCGCAAACAGACTGACAATTTTCAAGACGTGAAAAGGAACAACTCCAGCTGCCTATGTAGAATGGATTCAACATCCCCGCTCTACACAATGTGCGTATAAATATATATATGTCTATATATATATATACGCACCATGTGCATACTACCTACCTACCTACCTACCTACCTTCCTTCCTTCCTTCCTTCCTTCCTTCCTTCCTTCCTACCTTCCTACC